GTGATATACATGAGAGCAAGAGATCATCGGTTCTAGGACTTCCGTGATACCATGGCGAGTGAGGAGGAAGTGGAGCTGCCCTCAAGTTCCGATGCAGAAGTTGTCAGCTTGCCTTCTGGCAGTGATGGAGAAAATGAAAGAAATGGAGGGTGCTGCCAGCAAGGATGTTTGATGGTGTTGGGCGAGAGCAGCTCCTCCCAACGAATCGTAGATGACTTGCAACAAGCACTGCAAGCTGCTTCAAAATCAGATTCGGATAGAATCCGCTATGATTGCATGCGCAATTGGCACACTGGGTCTGGGTGGCGGCAGCACACTTTCTGCGGGGTGAAAGTATGCAGAATGGCAATGTGTGGCTTGCTGAAGATGAGCACTAGGCGGTTTGCGAAGATGCAGAAGCACCAGGCACAGGGCTTCCTAGAGCCACCGAACGACTTGCGAAAGGTCGTCTCGAGCCAATTGTCCTCGAACCCAGCAGAGGTGAATGCTCATAGTTTGCTGGCGTGGGTGCATCTGCACATGGCCGAGCCTTTGGTGGAGTCTGGTGATGTTTTCACCTCAACGAAGATGAAGCTGGGCAGCTTCAACAAAAGCGGCCGCTTGAAAGAGTCAGCCCTGGGCGATGAAGTGGTTCGCTATCTGCCGCCACACACGACCTTCACAGAGATGCGCCAGGTTGTGCCCCGGCCGGAGACAGATTGAGAAAGCAGCAACAGCAGTTTCAATAGAATCCATAGGTTCGGTTGGGCAGGTAATTTGGGAAATACATCATGGCGACCTGAGGCGATGTCTTTCATGCCGGTGGACCCTGCCCCGAGCTACTCGACGTTTGTCCGATGCTTTCACCAATCCTGGCATGGGCGGCTCAAGATCAGGTACGACCTCCAGCACTCCAAGTGCGCCGAGTGTGAGAAGCTGAAGCAGTGGATGCGTGTGGCGACCGGTCCAGAGGACCGGCAGCTCATCAAGAACGATTACTGCCAGCACCTGCAGTCGATGCTAGACGACCGGCGCATGGATGCAGAGCTGAATGCTCAAGGCAGCTCTGGAGAAACCATGGTGTCGCTCACGATCGACAGCATGGACTGCGCCAAATTTAAGTGCCCACGGCGCTTGTCGGCGTCCAAAGAATTTCAGAAGCTGTGGAGACCGGAAAATACTTTTACCGCTGTCTTGGCGGACAGGTTCTGCGAAGACTACTATGTTTTGGACCAAGATGTGGTGAAAGACTCCAACCTCATGCTTACACTGCTGCTTCGCACACTGCAAAGGGCCATGAAGGAGCGATCATCTGCGCCAAAGGTGATCAGGGTCCACAGTGATAATGCAGCAGGCGAGACCAAAAATCAGATTGTTCTGAAAGCAGGGGCCGTGTTGGTCCGGCAGGGGTGGTGCCGGGAGTTCTTGCTGACAAGCTTCCGCGTTGGACATTCTCATGGTCCCGTTGATCAGAAGTTCAGCGTGGTGCGGTCCCTGTTGGCTGACAGCGAGGACCTGGAGACACCTGAAGACTTCATGTCTGTGGTGGCAGGGGGTATGAAGCCCAAGCCGGGTCAGAAGATCAACGTGGAGAAGATTGAGGGCAGCTACAACTTCAAAGACGCTCTGGAGGAGTTCGCTGCCATACAGTTGGCAGGGCATGTGCAAACAGCCGCCATGACACAGAGGGGCGAGGAGGCCATCCATGTCTTCTCCTTGGTGCAGCGGAAGCACTACAATCCAACCGAGGATCATCCTGTGCGAGAGTGCCTTTTGTTCCCGCCACATGAGGATGATATCATCTTGGAGATGTTCCAATACATCTCCTCGCCAGATCAGTGCCAGGATCCCATTGTCTTCATTCCTGCATGTGTTGGCAGAGACATCGATTTTGCGAGCCTGCCCCTGGCCCCACGCAGGGAGTTCTCAGACACACAAGCCAAGGAGTTTGAAAAAACAGCGATTCAGATTGCGAAAATGCCATGGAACATGGGACGGGCCAGCTCTTACTTGAGGACGATGATCAGGAACAATGCCTCTCCTTCGACCGCTCCTTGGTCTGCTCCAGACATTCGTCTGTCCCTGAAGGCAGCAGATGCTTCAGCTGTGAAGGCCGAGCAGCCATCGCCAGCCGAGGCGATGGATCTGAGCTTCACAAATCGTGCTCCAGCGCCCGTTTCTGTGAAAGTGAATAAGAAGGTGGCCACAGCTGCCAAGTCCAAGCCAGTCCAGAAGGTGGCCGAGGCATCAGACGATGTGCCGTTGCCGGATGACGACGACCAGCAGCCTCCGCAGCTTGCACCGGCGACCTCTGCGAGTGCAGCACAGGGAGCGCCGCTTCGAGTGCCGATACCACCGTTGGCCAGTGCCCAAGTGAAACCCAAGGCCAAAGGCAAGGCTAAAGGAAAAGCGAAGGCGAAGGCCGCAACGGGCACTCCAGCTTCTAGCGGAGCAGAAGGTGAAGGTGCATCCGCCGAGCCACGAGGAAAGAAACCCAGGTATGGGATGTTGCCCTTTCCAGACGATGTGCATGAAAGGTGCACTCTGGGATGCCCGAAGTGCGTCCACAACAGGCACATTGGTTGTGCAAGATGTCGGGCCAAGCAGGGTCTAGTTTTGAATGATGAAAAGACGGCCTGGATTTGGGCCGATGGGTCATGATGCTTCAGCCTCTCGCCTCGCGTACTCGTCGACTCTGGACATAATATCTTATTCGCAAAAGCAACCTAGGTAAAAACAAAAAGCGAGGCCAGGGCAGATCTGAAGCAGCATCGTAGGCAGAAAGATGGAAAGGCACTTTGCCAATCATCCGCTCGTGTGAGTTGCAGTCCGTGACATTCTGACACAGCGACAGAGAGCTTGAAAACATGACATCAATCTGCTGCGCAAGTGCATAGATGTTTGCTTTCAGGCAGGAGCTTGAGCATCTGTTGTTCGTTGTGCTCTCTTGCAGGCTGCTGCCCGGGAGGATGGTCCAGCCCTGAGCTGGCGTGCAGCAGGCAAGCAGCCTCGGTTAGCTCTCACTCTGTGAGCCACATCGAATTCCGATTGAGCTGGACTTGAGACGTCCTGGACTTCATTGGCTCACGTAGCACACAGTGAGTGAGACCGTAATGACGAGATCCAAGACTGTTCTCTTGTAGAGAAGGACACAGGCTCAATGTGCTACGTGCAGGATAAGACTGTAGCCAGTAGCTGTTCTGTCGAGCACGACAAAGCAGAGGAACATGGCATCTGAAAGCATCGTCGTTATGAGCGATGATGAGGACAGGGATGTGGATAGCAAGATGCCCTCTGACAGTGCCGTTGTCATTGTGAGCGATGATGAGGAGGATGAGGTCATGACGATCACTCATTTTGCAGAAGCTTATAGCGTGCCAAGGGTTTCGTTTGCAGTGCGGCGTTTGGGCCTCCAAGTTGGACCAGCGATGGACCTGAAGACAGGCTATGATTTCGTGACAATGGAAGGTCGAGCCAGAGCTCGTCGCATTGTGACAGAGATGAAACCCCTGTTCCTCATGTTGAGCCCGCCCTGTCGCATGTACAGCCGACTGCAGATATGCTTTAAGAATTTTGCGCGAAGGCCTCCAGCTGAAGTGGCTGCGGACAAACTCCAAGCTGATGTTATGCTGGAGTTTGCAATGCAGATGGCCGACGAGCAAGTGAAGGAGGGCAGGTTCTTTGGTTTCGAGCACCCGGTCGATGCACTCTCCTGGGAACAGCCGTGTGTAAAGAAGCATCTGAGCAACTGCTATTCCTGTGCTTTCGATCAGTGCCGCCTGGGTCTGGAGGACCCTATCACCAAGGAGCCGATAAGAAAGCGGACTCGTTTCATGTCGAACAGCCCGCACATTCTCCACTTTGAAAAGTTTCAATGTTCCTGCACAAGGCGACACAAGCACATACGTGGCTGTGTTAACCTGAACGGCTCTATTCCCTTGAGTGAGTTTTGTCAGCAGTACACACCACAGTTGTGCCAAGAATTGGCCCACGTGGTTTATGCTGCTACGACACATGCACCGTAGCTGTTCGCACAAGGCAATTATTCTGTGTCCTATTGTTCTTTTAAGCACGATCTTAGAAATAACAGCAGTGCAGCGGCAGCGGACCGATTCACATTGCATCGTCAGACCAATTAAGAGAGCAATTCAAGTATGAGGAAAAACATGCGAAGCTTTGATTCTGCACGACAGAGACGTAGCAGGCAGCAGGATCACAGCCTCTGTCTTGTTCCCGGAAGTGTGCATCTCTGCTGCTAGAAGCTGGAAAACGAACATCATCAGGTCATGCTGATGACATGGAGATCAAGAAAGATGCCTGGCACTCAATGTTGTTTTGGAGATGCAGACCGCTGGAAATTCTGATTGATTGAAGCTGCAGTGTGCTCATGTGACCAGTGTGATTGTCAGCCCGTGTTAGAAGTTGGCTTTTCCCGGGTGAGAAGAAGGTGCAGGACTACAGAATAGCATTCTATGAAGCTCTGAGAGAGAGCTATCACTCTGTGAGAGAGTGAGATCAGAAGACGAGAAGAAGGTGCAGGACTACGTAGTAGCATTGTATGAAGCTCTGAGAGAGAGCTGTCGTCACTCTGTGAGAGAGTGAGAGAAGAAGACGAGATAGAGAGAGAGAGAGAGAGAGAGAGAGAGAGAGAGAGAGAGCAAGAGAGAGAGCAACGGAGTCTGTACAATTGCAGAACCTGACGATCAGGACCCTCCGAGCTCAGACCCCCCAGATCGTCAGATTACGTTTGAAATCTGACGTACTCCTTGTTCTGTTATATGAACCTGACGTACTACCCCCCCTGAGCTCGTGACCCTGCGTTGGTCAGATCCTCCATCTGTTATATGAAGATGGTCAGATTACGTTTGAAATCTGACGTACTCCCCCCCCTGAGCTCGGACCCCCCTGTTCGTCAGATTTGGCCTGTGTGGGAGTCTCCGAATTCCTGCAAAATGACAACTTTTCTCGTCGCGAAGTCTTGGCTTTAGACTGGACACCCGCCTTTAGGGCTGCTGTCTGTCATGGCGGATGTGAAGATGGAGGTCGCGAAGTCGGAGGAAAGCGACACGACCTTTCCTCACGAGACAGTGACCGACGAGAATTTCCGCGATGTTGTTCTTGACATTTTCGAGAAGGAGGTGAACAGGTTCAAGAACTGTTGGGCGTATCTCGACCATTTTCACAAAGACCGGTCTGCGTTTGCTGATCAGCTTCGTGCCCTCTTCCCACAGAAGCCCGAGGTAGAGTACCTCTTGTCCTATGTGATTCCGTCGACTGGCAACTTCAGCGTATCTCTTTGGCACTTGAACTGGGGCCCGGATTGCTCCACAAAGCCGGTGCCTGACCGTGTCACCGTGAGATCATTGCTGGATGAGTACTTGACAAGTGGAGTGGCGACCCGAGCAGAGCCCCTGATGGTCTACCAGGCACAGGACCCTGGGAGGAACGATTTCATTCTTCATTTTGCCAAAGGAGCCGCAAGGTCAGCAGCATGCCTTGTGCTGGCCAGCCTTGTCATGCGGTACGGCTTCCATTTGAAGACCTTCGTGCAGGAGAGCATGTGTGAGATTCATGTCACACAGGCAGACTGTGGCTGTGACATTGCCTCAGTGGCCCTGTTCAACGCAAAGATGAGTGCACGCGGGGACATTCGCAAGGCTCACTGCTCCTTGGACAGCTGGGTTTTGTGGGTGTGTAGTTTCGGTGTTCTTATGTCATCAGTTACCCTTTGAGCGAGGTTGCTTGACATGGCTGGCCAAAATGATGGTGCTGAAGAAGCACAATCATGATGCAACCAGTATCATTAAGGAGTGGAACCGCACGTGCACGAAGGATGGGCAGATCAAAGGGGCCAAGCACACGGCCCTGTTGTCCCTGTTGAATCTGCCACAGTTTTGCGTCGATGCGCTGCTCGAACACTTGAACGAGTTCGGGTCTCAAGGAGCATTCAACGACAACCAATGGAGCAACAAGAAGGTGTTGCCAGGTGGTGGGCCGAAGGGCTACCCCAGAGAATGGAACAGTCGGCTCCAGGTGACGGACGAAGGCTTCTGCCTCATGATCAAGTACCTGGACAATCGACACCGGATGAAGCTTGCAGGCTCACGATGCAAGTTCAGCGGGTCGGATGTGGAGGAGGCCGCTTTGGTATGCCAGCTCTTGCACTCCCTTGTTCATGAGCTGGAGGACTCAGTGCCCCTGCAGGTCAAGGAAGACGTATGCACACTCCTGGTGCAGGGAGACATGAACTTGCTTCTGCAGCTCCAAGGAGCCCTTTCAGAGAAGAGAAGCAACCTTGCTCCTGCAGACATTCTGGTGCTCAGGGAATACATCCAAAAGCATGTCGCAGACGGGGAGAAGAAGCTTCGCAACCTTGGTGCGGTTTCGAACAGCATCAATCCGGGACAGCTGGAGCGGCAGGAGTTCGATCTTGCCATTGCTTCCATGCGACACGACATGGACGTGTATGGTGCTTGGCTTGTTCGGAGCCGCGATCGCGAAGCCGGGGTTTATCATCAGAATCTTCAGTGGAGGCTTGGCAGGCAGAATCGAGCCAAGGAGATGGCTGAAGGCATCATGCGGCGAAGCTCGGAAACTTGGAGGATGGAGTTTGCTGTTTTGGAGTCAGCAGCCCAGGGCCTCAAGACCATCCAAGAGGCCATGAAGTACATCTGCAGGCTAAACCAGATTTCGGCGGAGAACTTGAAGTGCATCGTCATCCTGAATTGGTGTGCACCCTCTTTGTTTTCGTCCCAAGTTCAGCGAGATCAAGCATCTTTGATGGGGGCCATCTTGAATGGGCAGTAGCTTGCCAGATTCTGGCATGATGAAGTTTGCGTAGGTCCTTTTCAATTTCTGTACACAGTCACAAGCAATTAAATTAAGGAATGCCGTGGCTGGAGGCGTGTGCCTGACACCTACGTTTACATACAACAAGGGTCAGCTTCACAAGACAGAGCAGGAGGCTTTGAGGCTCCTTGCGGAGTCCAACCTCAATCTCGACCACGTTGCTGTGGTGCCCTACAAAGGGCGCAACGACGACCGAGAGAAGAGGTTCCAATGGGGTTTGATTTGTGTTGTTATTCCGGGATGTGGGACTCTGGTCACGTGTGATTCACTTGACTGTGACAGTGTCAGGCCACTGCTCATGCTCACCCGCATTTTGATGCCGATGGACGAAGTGGCTGCTGAACGGGCTCAGGAGAACTGGCGACTGTCCGCCATTTTCAGAAAACCCCTATTGGAAGAGGCGGACCTTCCCCAGACCCGGGACCTTCTGGCGATAGAGGATCTGGATCCTGCGGCATTGCCAACAACCACCGATGCCCATGTCCATGTGCCCCAGCCAGAGAAGGCAATGCAGATCGGAGAGTCAGCAGCGAGGTCGATCCTCCGAGGCTTCTTGGCCCAGGACTCCACAGTTGGAGCCACTGCGGGTACGAGAAGTGCGTTTCTGTGCATTGACTTGAGCCCGCACACCTGTGACTTCAGCAGAGCCGCCCTGGCTGAGACCAAGTTGCCCGTGTACTACCTGGGCTTGACAAGGAGCGAGGGAGAGCTCGAGTGGTCAAAATCCTTCGTGAGGGACTGGCTGGCAGACAGCTTTTTGGACGGGAGCCTCCAGCTGCCACCGACAATGAGCCTTCCCCCGATTGAGATGCCCACCGAGTTGCAGCAAGCCGCACCCCCGCTACCAAATCTGCAGACTCTGCTGCTCAACAAGGTGCAAAAGTACGAAGGCCTTCCGAGCCTCAAGACGCCCGACCGGGTGCTCGCGGCATGGGGCGATCACGCGAGATTCAAAACAGAATTCGAAGAATTCTTGCAAAAATCGAGGGAGGAGCTTCCTCTTGACTTGACACCGGAGAAGGCAGACAAGAGCAGTGGCGCTGGCAGTGGCTCGGGCAGTGGCTCCGGCAGTGGCTTGAAGAGGGAAGCTGATGGCACACAAGGCCGAGTTGCCAAGAAGCAGAAGGTGGAGACCCTTGTGAATCCAGAGGTCGTGGCCAAGCGATCAATTCCCTTGAAAGATCTTCCGAAGCCACTTACATGGGAAGCAGACTTGCATCTGCCAAAGTCTGCCAAGGCAAAGGTTTCAGTGATTATCACTTTGGGGGAGAGGATCTTCTTGGTCAATCACAGCCAGGACAAGGACGTGGTGTTGGAGAAGAACACCTGCGTGGCCGGATTCTACAAGGGGAAGTGGTGGCAGCACAAGGGCAGCAAAGACCAGGCTTCTGTCAAAGAGAGTGACATCTTGTTCACATTGAAGGATGCCGACAGCTTGATCCAGATCGGAAGCAAAGTGCACACCCTGGGCGAAGCAGTGCAGGAGATCGTAGACAAACGAGAAGCTCCCCCGGCCCCCCTTAACTCCACGCTTTTACCAGCAGCTAGCCTAAAAACGTTCGGCCCTTTCTGATATTAGGAGCGGCGCAAAACCCAGCCGGATGTGACTGTGTCCTACCACAAGATCTGCGATTCGCCGACAAGCACAAAGCCAGCCTTCTTCACGATGTCTCAAACTCACACAATCTATTGGGAGATCCAGGCAATCCCGGCTGACTGCATCCAGCATGATTTTGGTACTGGTTTCTACTTTTGGAGTTGAAGCCCCTTTGTGGGGGAGTTGTGGAACATGATTGCTAAGCTGGGCTTGCTAAGCCCTTTGTGTCCTGTGCAAGTCTGTCAGAAAGGCAAGTCGACTGTGAAGGACCAGGATGGCAAGACATGTGTCCCGGTCCATCACATGGGCGGAGTCATTCCATTTTCTCGGTGGGAGACATGGGCATCTACTTTGGTGTGGGCCTCTAAGTGGTCGCCGACCTCCGCAAAGGGCCTGGTTCCATGCCGACCTTTGATTGTCTTGAAAGAATCCGTGCCACTCAGCCCTCAAACGGCAATCGAGCTGACAGCAAGTGAAGGACCATCAGCCGAGCCCGTGGCGTAAGAAGGCTGAGCCAAGCTTGCAGGTGCCACGGCACCCGAAGGTGTTGTGACTGGTCATTGGCCTCTTGATTAGTGTGTGCAGACGGTCCAGACACCAACAGTTAGTCAACGTACTCTTCGGCACCTGAAACGGCAAGCAAATGTGGGAATGCCTGGCCAGCACAGCTACCTGCTTTTTGAATCTAGTTTTCCAGGACACAAGCGCAGGAGATTGTACCGATTGCGCCTCTGTGTTGGCTCGCCGCCGGGGATGTGCCTATGTGTTCATTGGCTCGCCTCAGAGTTCACATAAAGAGTATAGAAGACCAAACTGCAAGAATGCTGCTTTAATTTTTTATGAATCACACATGCTGCTTCTTGTTACTGTTACAAGATCCGAATGGCTAGCCAAGAATTATTTGTTTCTTCAACTGCCTTGCACCTGAGACCGTTTCAGCCAGGCTTCTTGTTGGGTTTGCAGCATACAGTAGCCACACACAGAGACTAATGGAACTCTGGAGCAGGTGTCTCATGGCAGTTTAGAAAGGTTTGCACTGCGAAAGCCAGTGGCATGACAAAAGGCAGCGACGAGGTCACTGTGCAAGCCCAGAGCAGTGCGTGTTTTTCGACATGACCTGAGGGCATGGCAAAATAGTCCTGGCTGCTTCGAGGTCACAGCCTCCAGGAATCAGTCTTCGTGTGCGTGCGAGGAGAAGGTGTACGCAAAGGCCGGACATTCTGTCATTGTGGCGATCGCTTCTCCAGAGCTTTGCATTAACAGTCCAGCCTGTACACGGAGCAGTGAAACAAATGCGCGAGGCTTTGAGTACATCTTCTCTTCCCATGCACATGAGGGTGCGTGACAGACAGACAGATAGATATAGAGAGAAACACCGACACGGACAAAAAAGACAGCGAGAGAGAGAGAGAGACAGACAGAGAGACAGAGAGAGAGAGAGGGGAAGAGAGAGAGAGAGAGACAGGGAGACAGAGAGAGAGCGAGAGGAGAGTGATTGTTTGTGTTTATGTATATATGTATACACATGTATTTTTGTGGTTGTCTGTCTGGGGTACGTGTCAGTGTGCGTCTGCACGCACCTTCAGGTCTGACGATGTTGAGAAACATGGCAGTCATTTCTTCTTCTGATTCTTCTTCTGATACGATAAACGCAGAAGACGCTTCAGGTCTGCGTTCTGCTCCAAGATTTCACCTGCTTGGTCCTCAGCAATCTGTCCGTATCCTCGGAATGTCCTGTGCAGACACAGGACTGAAACTGTCAGTGTGGACAAGACTTTCGGGTAGTGATGTGGCCGGCCTGGCATCCGCGATTCGTGCGTACAGCATGGCAACCTCCTCTGGCACAGAGGCCAGTTTTAGATCCTGCACCATCTTCTGTCGACCGCTGTGAGACCTGACTTTCTCCGTGTCAATCCAAACACCTTTCGGAGTCTGAAACGTTTTACGAAGCCGCTGGATGGCTTTGCACACAGTGTCTTTGCATCGATTTACTTGTTTGCTATCCTTACGAACAGCAGGAAACAACAAGGCATTATTTTCCTTTGGGAAGGTCCACACATCTTGGAAAGGACGCTTACCCAGGATTCCTCTTGCGCGGCTCCTTTGTTTGCTAAGACCCTTGCTTTTTAAATGGCGCAAAACCTGAAACACGGCCGAAATCATGGGTTTCTTCACAGATTTCTGGCCTTTGAGCGGCTGTATCAAGACTGTTCGAGCCTTCCAATTGAAGTGTCCTGCACGTAGCTGTAATGCTTCTGTAACTCGCAAGCACAGAAGATGTGTTAGGAGCAAGCAGGCGTGCAGCCAGCATGAACCACTTTTGTGAACATGTGCTAGCCACATAGCCCACAACTGCCCGGGCATGCTGGATGCTTTTCCTCTGCTCTTCACGGATCTCTTCTTCGTCGTCGCCTTGCGTGATGTCCGAGGTTTCTGCACACGCAAGGCAGGAGATTTAGCCATGGTGTGCCAGGCAGGATGGAGCTGGATAATTGAGCCAATTACTGTGGACATGTTTATATTCTCGTGGGAGTCCGCCTACCCCGGGAGAAAGCGGACTCCCATGCCGAAACCCGAGTTTTAAGCCGATGACAGTCTCAGTCTCTCATTTTCTCAGAAAGCAACACCCAGGTTGCTCGGAAGTGGGTCGCTCTCTCAGCGACTCTGAAGCCCGAGCTTTCGAGCTGTCACTCTCTCAGTGACCAGAGATCAACACCCAGGTTGCTGGCATTGCTGGGAAGGTCACTCTCTCAGTGACTTTGATATGCAAACTTGAGAAAATAAACTGATTGAGCTAACACAGCCCAACAATGCCAAGGTCGCGACAGCGTCGGTTCCCGGCCAGGATCTCTGCCTGATTGCCATGAAGAGAAGTGCTAAATGGTATGTGTACTTAGGATTCGAGCCCTGCCAGGTCGCACCTTCCACCATTGTGCGGTGTCCAAGTCTCAGCAATCATGCCCAGTAGAGTGCAAACAACGGGGAGCACTGAGAGAGTGCAACAACACTTTGCGCTGAGAGAGTGCGACAGAACAACACTTGACCACTGAGAGAGTGGGACAGTGCAGCAAGTCCTTCGCTGAGTGGAAGGCCCATGGATTGAATCATGCACCTCGACCGGCAGTTGCACTGTAGTAATAAGTGTAATCAGCAGTCTGTGCCACTTCAGGCGCACTCGCTTCGTGCCCCTCGTGGTCCTGCTCTCTCAGCAGTTCAAGGTGCACTCTCTCAGTGCCCGGATTCGTCGGTGTACTGAGAAGCAGGCCGGCTTGTTGGCTGAGCTGAGACAGCACAGGCGCCAGAAGCAGTGACCGATCACATCGAAACTTCTGCCGGGGTGCAGCAAATAGCTCAGCCCCAGGCCTCCTCGGTGTGGCACTGACCTTGTCACACAGGCACGCCGGTTTCATTTCGAATCTTGTATGCTTGCTTTGAAGTCAGCGTGCCCATGACATGTGACTGCGCTGTGTCCACAAAATGGATTCAAGGCTCATTTCAAGGCCGAGTTTTCGAAGGCTTTGCAGAGTCTGAGTCGTGACAACGAACATAGCTTGCATGATACTTCGCATTGCCCAGGGTGACATCAACCATCATGCATGTCACATATCCAAGTGCCAGCCAGGCCTATGTACAACCCAATATGCATGGTACGTCTACGAGCGACAATAAATCGTCATGCATTGATAGTTGCTTGTTTGCAAGCAACCATGGGTGAGTGGTCTGGCTGGTCCTGGAGAACATGGGAGGCTGAGGCGGCTCAGGACACCCGTCCTGCCTGGTCAGACAGGCAGTGGCAGGACCATGCTGGAGGGCAAAATGATGCTTGGGGCGGCGACGGCGGTGCCAGAGCAAGCGAGCCGGCTGTCATGTCTTCAAGACCGAAGGCTAAGGCCAAGCAGGCGCCAAAAGCAAAGGCAAAGCCTAAGGCCAAGGCTGACAACCGTAATGCCAGGGACCGGCGGGATTTCGAGAGGTGGAACTCGGACCACCGTCGGATGATGGTGGCAGAACACGAGGCGGAAAGGAGCGCCGCCGCTTTGCAAGAGCTCCAGTTCGAGTTGTGGTCACTCGAAATCACCACGGACCTCTTGCAGACAGACATGGAGAACCTCCAGACTGAGCTCAAGCAGGAACAGGAGAAGCTGCGAGAGGAGCAGGGGAGGAACAGCCGCTTGCTCAATGACGTAGACAAGGCTATGCGGCAGAAGCTGGATCTGGAGCAGAAGATATGTGAGCTCCGGTCGCAGAAAGAGGAGCTCTCTGGCAAACTTAAACAATGCGAGAAACGGTTGGAGTCCGCACAGTTGGACACAGCGGCCCTCAAGAGACAAGGGAATGCCGCGGAGTTCGACTTGAAAAGAAAGACCGAGGAGAACACCGCCATCCGAGCCGACCACAGCAAGTACAAGGCAGGATGGGATGGAGTATAACGGTGTTGTTGGTTTGGAGTCTCACTCCAGCTGCCATTGTGCAGGCGAAGACAGACAAGGTCATCGAGGAGTTGACAGCGGAGAAGGCTGCGAGCCTTAATCCTCGCACGATTGGTCTTAGGAGTCTCGCTCCAGCTGCCATTTTGCAGGCGAAGAAAGACAAGGTCATCCAGGACTTGACAGCCGAGAAGGCTGTGAGCCTTATTCCTCGCATGATTGGTCTTAGGAGTCTCGCTCCAGCTGCCATTTTGCAGGCGACGAGAGACAAGGTCATCGAGGAGTTGACAGCCGAGAAGGCTGTGAGCCTTAATCCTCGCACGATTGGTCTTAATGTTTCCTTTGTCAGGATCGCTACAAGCTGCTGTGTTCTGCCTTCGAGAAGACATACAATGAGGCAGAAGCTCGTAGTACTTCTGGTCTTATGACTTATGCCACAGTATGGGAGACTGGAGTAACTACTGGCACAGGTCCCCGCACCACCGGTTCAGCCGATTCCGGAGCCCCTGGTTTTTGGACAGACAACCCGAGCCACGGGGATACCCCTACGGTTGCCGGGGCAAAGTGCTGCCCGAAGCCCAGCACATCCTGCGTCACCTGCACCTCCACTCTTGATTTCGCTACAGATGCCATTGTGTGTGTGCAGGTGCCTGTCTCCAGTGGGGGAATCCAGACCAAGGCGAGGTCTTTCGCCTCATTGAAAGCCCAGACTGAGCCTTCTAGATCTGAGGCAAGTGCGACGGCCGAAGCCGAGGTGATTTAGATGATGCTAGAGTTCTGTTCGTATCTCATTTCTTGGAAGGTGCAGAGCGTGACTGCGACGAAGGCCTGCTCGGCGCCGGCAGAGGCCAAGAAGGCATGCCTGCTTTGTGACAGTGGCTGGAATCAGGTTTCTGCAATTATGCCCTTTGTGCTGCACACATTTGGCTCTGCAGGTGTCCCCATTGCCCGCGGGGGTGCCTGTGGAGGCTTGGCCTCCCCCTCTGCCAAAGGCCCACTTCAAGAAGCTGCTGTTCCTCTGTAGCTGTGGCTCTATTTTGGACTGTCCCAGCCATCCCATCCCTTCTTCCTGCAGGC